TTCGTGTTCTGATATATTGGAGATTGGGAACAGTATTGGGGTCGAACCGGGATATCTGAAGCTAGTCAATCGGTAGAATTTAGAGTAGCCAACTCACGATTCACAATAAATTTGGCGACGGAGATTTAGCAACAAGTTGGTGATTAACTATGGATCCAGCCAAATTAGAAAAATTGTTCGAACAGCAGCTGAAGCTGATGGAGATGATTACTCAGACGCATATATCTTCTCGAGTCCCAACTGCACCGACAATTCCTGAATCAGTTGATGGTATTACCAGTGGTATTTCAGAATTTCTTTATGATCCTGATGCCAACATTACATTTGATACCTGGTTCAGACGTTACGAAGACCTTTTCAAAGTTGACTTTGTTGACAGAGATGATTCGTGGAAGGTGCGTCTTCTTCTCCGTAAACTTGGTCCATCCGAGCTGGCTAAGTATTGCAACTTCATTCTACCGCAGAACCCACGCGACCGTTCATTCGACGCCACTATTCAGTCCCTTAGCCAACTTTTTGGTGATCATCACTCACTCTTCAGTACCCGATATCGCTGCTTAAAACTGGTCATGAATGAATCTGATGACTTCCTGACCCACGTCGGCGTTGTTAACCGTGAGTGCGAACGGTTCAAGCTCAGATCCCTCACTGAAGACCAATTCAAGTCCCTAGTACTCATATGCAGTCTTCAGTCACCCAAATTCTCCGACATCAGAACTCGGTTGCTCAACCGCCTTGAACAAGATCCAACACTGACACTCAATGCGATCATAGACGAATACCAGCGTATCATCAATCTGCAGCGTGACACCACTTTGGTTCAATCTGGGGGCCAGGGTGGTTCCGAAGTTCATGCTGTTCAGCACCAGAAAAAATCTTCGAGATCGACAAACTCGAGTCCTTCGAACGCCAGCGCTGTTTCTATCTCTAATCACTCTAAACCGGTTCAGAAGAAGCCCCCCTCGCCATGTTGGCACTGTGGAGCCTGGCATTATGTGAAGTTCTGTCCATTCAAACAGCATGTGTGCGATCGCTGTCAGAAAGTTGGTCACAAAAGCGGCTTTTGCAAATCCAACCGATTCAATAACCGTCGAAATGCACAGACGCAGCGTCGTTTTCACAAAAAGCCGATTACCTCATCAAGGAGTTTAGCAGCAGTCTTCCATACTCATGCCGCGACTCGACGCAAATTTCTGACCCTCTCAATCAATGGTCAGCCAGTTAGTTTGCAGTTGGACACTGCATCAGATATCACCATTCTGTCGAAAAAGACTTGGGGAACCTTGGGTCAACCTCCCATCAAACCATCCTCTCAAACAGCCGTCAGTGCTTGTGGGGGTCATCTCCGCCTTCATGGTAAACTCTGTTGCTGTATTTCATTCAGAGGTACAACCTTCAATGGGACATGCTACATCACCAATTCTCCGCTCAACCTTTTAGGTTTAGATTGGTTCGAAGAACTTGGTCTCGCTGATCTTCCTATTAGCGCTATCTGCAATCAAGTCCAAACTACTGCTTCTACACAACAGCATGCTGAAGACCTTCGAAAACGATTTATTGAATTATTTAAGCCTGGTCTCGGACTTTGTTCCACAACTGAAGCTGTTTTAAAACTGCAGTCAGAAGCTACGCCAGTTTTTCGCCCAAAGCGTCCAGTCCCATACGCATCTTTACCTCTGGTTGACGCTGAACTTCAACGTTTGGAAACTGAAGGTGTCCTAGTACCTGTTTCTTATTCATCATGGGCTGCACCAATTGTGGTTGTAAAAAAGTCCAATGGTTCCATACGCATCTGTGCAGACTTTTCCACAGGACTCAACGCGGCTCTACAACAGCATCACTATCCGCTGCCGATCCCAGATGACTTATTTACTATTTTAAATGGTGGTACCTATTTTGCTAAGCTGGATCTGGCAGATGCTTACCTTCAAATTCCAGTCGCTCTAGAATCCAGAGAGTTGTTGACAATCAACACTCACCGAGGACTTTTTCAGTATACCCGGTTACCCTTCGGTATCAAAACTGCTCCAGCGATCTTCCAGCAGATCATGGACACTATTCTGGCAGATGTTCCTGGTGTTGCTACATACCTTGACGATGTGCTCATTGTCGGCGCAACTGCTGATGAATTGCATACCAGAACCCACTTAGTTCTGCAACGCCTCCAGGATAATGGTTTTCGCCTTCGCCCAGAAAAATGCCAGTTCTTCCTACGTTTCGTTAAATACCTGGGGTTTATCTTTGATGCTTCCGGACGACACCCTGATCCTCAAAATACTTACGCAATCCAACAAATGCCTGCTCCCACTGATGTCTCCTCACTCCCATCATTTTTGGGAATGATTAGCTACTATTCAGCATTTCTTCCATCACTGCATGACGTACGATATCCATTAAATCGTCTGCTAGAAAAGAATGGTACTTGGAATTGGTCAACGCAATGTGAGTCAGCCTTTTCAAAACTTAAAGCTATGCTAAGTTCCAATCTTCTGCTAACCCACTACAATCCGAAACTACCCATTGTGGTTGCTGCTGACGCTTCAACACATGGATTGGGTGCCGTAATCTCACATGTCTTTCCCGACGGGTCAGAGAAAGCGGTGATGCACGCTTCGAGAACATTAACACCTGCTGAGAAACGCTACGGTCAGATAGAGAAGGAAGCGTTAGCCCTAATTTTTGCTGTCCGGCGATTCCACAAATTCATTTATGGGCGCCGTTTCACCTTGCTCACAGACCACAAACCTTTGTTATCAATCTTTGGATCAAAGAAAGGCATTCCTGCCCATTCTGCTAATCGTCTTCAACGTTGGGCGTTGGCGTTATTGGGGTACGACTTCGACATCCAGTATCGACGTTCCGAAGATTTTGGTCAAGCGGATGCACTGTCCAGACTTATCAGTAACCATTCTACCACTGATGAGGACACACTCATAGCCATAGTATCAACCGAAGAGGATTCCGATGCTACACTATTGGCGAACGCCGTTCGAGCAATGCCTGTTACCGCTGAAGATGTTCGGGAAGCTACCAGAGAAGACCCGATTATTCAAGAAGCGATCACCTATGTTCAGAGCAGATGGCCAGTTAAGCAGCTGAGTGGTGATATGCAACAATTAGCGAATCGTCGCAGCTCTCTCTGTATTGTTAACGATTGTCTGATGTTCGGTGATCGCGTAGTAATTCCAACAACTCTACGTTCCAAAGTCCTCCGCCAATTCCACTCTGGACACCCAGGGATAAACCGTATGAAATCCATCGCTCGAAGCTATGCATATTGGCCAAATATGGACAAGCAGATTGTCGACTTCGTCAAAAGATGTTCACATTGCCAAAAAGCTGCGAAAAATCCTCCTAAGTTGCCTCCAGTGCCCTGGCCGAAGTCAGAAAAACCCTGGTCGCGAGTGCATATTGACTTCACCGGACCCCTAGATGGTACCACATATCTGATACTGGTTGACTCATACTCCAAATGGCCGGAGATATTGCCGATTGCGCCACCCTCTACAACTCGAACCATCAAACTCCTTAATCGGATCTTCGCTCAGCATGGTCTTCCAGAAACAATAGTAACAGACAATGGTTCACAATTTACATCTAGCCAATTCCGAGAATTTTGCCTGCAGAATTCGATCAACCATGTTCGTTCTCCGCCATATCACCCGCAATCTAATGGACAAGCTGAAAGGTTCGTTGATACATTTAAACGAGCCATGCTTAAAGCACGAGGGGAGGGGACCACAGAGGATATCATAGAACGATTCCTAGTTGCGTACCGGACGACCCCGCATGACTTATTGCCAAACTCCAAATCCCCTGCTGAGATGCTTATGGGGCGAAAACTACGGACAGTTCATGGTGCGATGAAACCCAAGCAAGTGGCCCAGCAAAGCCCCCAGAGGAAGAATATTCGAATTCCCTACGAAGTTGGTACCAAAGTGTATGCGCGAGATTATAGACATGGATGTGATAAATGGGTAGAGGGTGAAATCACACAAAAACATGGGGACGTCATGTATGATGTCAAGGTGAACCAAGAAATCTGGACCAGGCACCACAATCAACTCAGGTCAAGGAAAGCGAAGGAGAAAGAAGAAATTACAAAACGCGTCCCACTCGACTTGCTGTTGGACACATTTCAACTTCCGCCAATACCTCCAACAGAGACGACTAAGTCATCTACTCAAGTAGAACATCCCTCTGGTTCTGTGTGGTTGCCTCGGAGGTCGGATCGCAAAAGAAGACACCCAAAGAAACTTCAAGTAAACCCTCGGTTACGTCGCTATTAACTTTTCCAAAGGGGAGGTGTTGGGATACTCAGAAAAAAATCCCAGGAACAATTATCCGGTTAAGTCTAACGCTACCCTTGAACGTTAAATGGTGTCATTTCCCTATTGGTCGTTTCCCTACTGATCAATATTTATTTCGCGTGTCATTTTCCTATTGGTCAATGTTATTCAACGTGTCATCTTTCTGTTGGTCAATATTTATAGTAATCCTAACTGTATAAATATGCATTTGTTTGTAAATCATCATTCTGCTGCTCCTGACCCCATAAACGATTTTTCATCTACGGTTCGTGTCCTGATATATTGGAGATTGGGAACAGTATTGGGGTCGAACCGGGATATCTGAAGCTAGTCAATCGGTAGAATTTAGAGTAGCCAACTCACGATTCACAATAAATTTGGCGACGGAGATTTAGCAACAAGTTGGTGATTAACTATGGATCCAGCCAAATTAGAAAAATTGTTCGAACAGCAGCTGAAGTTGATGGAGATGATTACTCAGACGCATATATCTTCTCGAGTCCCAACTGCACCGACAATTCCTGAATCAGTTGATGGTATTACCAGTGGTATTTCAGAATTTCTTTATGATCCTGATGCCAACATTACATTTGATACCTGGTTCAGACGTTACGAAGACCTTTTCAAAGTTGACTTTGTTGACAGAGATGATTCGTGGAAGGTGCGTCTTCTTCTCCGTAAACTTGGTCCATCCGAGCTGGCTAAGTATTGCAACTTCATTCTACCGCAGAACCCACGCGACCGTTCATTCGACGCCACTATTCAGTCCCTTAGCCAACTTTTTGGTGATCATCACTCACTCTTCAGTACCCGATATCGCTGCTTAAAACTGGTCATGAATGAATCTGATGACTTCCTGACCCACGTCGGCGTTGTTAACCGTGAGTGCGAACGGTTCAAGCTCAGATCCCTCACTGAAGACCAATTCAAGTCCCTAGTACTCATATGCAGTCTTCAGTCACCCAAATTCTCCGACATCAGAACTCGGTTGCTCAACCGCCTTGAACAAGATCCAACACTGACACTCAATGCGATCATAGACGAATACCAGCGTATCATCAATCTGCAGCGTGACACCACTTTGGTTCAATCTGGGGGCCAGGGTGGTTCCGAAGTTCATGCTGTTCAGCACCAGAAAAAATCTTCGAGATCGACAAACTCGAGTCCTTCGAACGCCAGCGCTGTTTCTATCTCTAATCACTCTAAACCGGTTCAGAAGAAGCCCCCCTCGCCATGTTGGCACTGTGGAGCCTGGCATTATGTGAAGTTCTGTCCATTCAAACAGCATGTGTGCGATCGCTGTCAGAAAGTTGGTCACAAAAGCGGCTTTTGCAAATCCAACCGATTCAATAACCGTCGAAATGCACAGACGCAGCGTCGTTTTCACAAAAAGCCGATTACCTCATCAAGGAGTTTAGCAGCAGTCTTCCATACTCATGCCGCGACTCGACGCAAATTTCTGACCCTCTCAATCAATGGTCAGCCAGTTAGTTTGCAGTTGGACACTGCATCAGATATCACCATTCTGTCGAAAAAGACTTGGGGAACCTTGGGTCAACCTCCCATCAAACCATCCTCTCAAACAGCCGTCAGTGCTTGTGGGGGTCATCTCCGCCTTCATGGTAAACTCTGTTGCTGTATTTCATTCAGAGGTACAACCTTCAATGGGACATGCTACATCACCAATTCTCCGCTCAACCTTTTAGGTTTAGATTGGTTCGAAGAACTTGGTCTCGCTGATCTTCCTATTAGCGCTATCTGCAATCAAGTCCAAACTACTGCTTCTACACAACAGCATGCTGAAGACCTTCGAAAACGATTTATTGAATTATTTAAGCCTGGTCTCGGACTTTGTTCCACAACTGAAGCTGTTTTAAAACTGCAGTCAGAAGCTACGCCAGTTTTTCGCCCAAAGCGTCCAGTCCCATACGCATCTTTACCTCTGGTTGACGCTGAACTTCAACGTTTGGAAACTGAAGGTGTCCTAGTACCTGTTTCTTATTCATCATGGGCTGCACCAATTGTGGTTGTAAAAAAGTCCAATGGTTCCATACGCATCTGTGCAGACTTTTCCACAGGACTCAACGCGGCTCTACAACAGCATCACTATCCGCTGCCGATCCCAGATGACTTATTTACTATTTTAAATGGTGGTACCTATTTTGCTAAGCTGGATCTGGCAGATGCTTACCTTCAAATTCCAGTCGCTCTAGAATCCAGAGAGTTGTTGACAATCAACACTCACCGAGGACTTTTTCAGTATACCCGGTTACCCTTCGGTATCAAAACTGCTCCAGCGATCTTCCAGCAGATCATGGACACTATTCTGGCAGATGTTCCTGGTGTTGCTACATACCTTGACGATGTGCTCATTGTCGGCGCAACTGCTGATGAATTGCATACCAGAACCCACTTAGTTCTGCAACGCCTCCAGGATAATGGTTTTCGCCTTCGCCCAGAAAAATGCCAGTTCTTCCTACGTTTCGTTAAATACCTGGGGTTTATCTTTGATGCTTCCGGACGACACCCTGATCCTCAAAATACTTACGCAATCCAACAAATGCCTGCTCCCACTGATGTCTCCTCACTCCCATCATTTTTGGGAATGATTAGCTACTATTCAGCATTTCTTCCATCACTGCATGACGTACGATATCCATTAAATCGTCTGCTAGAAAAGAATGGTACTTGGAATTGGTCAACGCAATGTGAGTCAGCCTTTTCAAAACTTAAAGCTATGCTAAGTTCCAATCTTCTGCTAACCCACTACAATCCGAAACTACCCATTGTGGTTGCTGCTGACGCTTCAACACATGGATTGGGTGCCGTAATCTCACATGTCTTTCCCGACGGGTCAGAGAAAGCGGTGATGCACGCTTCGAGAACATTAACACCTGCTGAGAAACGCTACGGTCAGATAGAGAAGGAAGCGTTAGCCCTAATTTTTGCTGTCCGGCGATTCCACAAATTCATTTATGGGCGCCGTTTCACCTTGCTCACAGACCACAAACCTTTGTTATCAATCTTTGGATCAAAGAAAGGCATTCCTGCCCATTCTGCTAATCGTCTTCAACGTTGGGCGTTGGCGTTATTGGGGTACGACTTCGACATCCAGTATCGACGTTCCGAAGATTTTGGTCGAGCGGATGCACTGTCCAGACTTATCAGTAACCATTCTACCACTGATGAGGACACACTCATAGCCATAGTATCAACCGAAGAGGATTCCGATGCTACACTATTGGCGAACGCCGTTCGAGCAATGCCTGTTACCGCTGAAGATGTTCGGGAAGCTACCAGAGAAGACCCGATTATCCAAGAAGCGATCACCTATGTTCAGAGCAGATGGCCAGTTAAGCAGCTGAGTGGTGATATGCAACAATTAGCGAATCGTCGCAGCTCTCTCTGTATTGTTAACGATTGTCTGATGTTCGGTGATCGCGTAGTAATTCCAACAACTCTACGTTCCAAAGTCCTCCGCCAATTCCACTCTGGACACCCAGGGATAAACCGTATGAAATCCATCGCTCGAAGCTATGCATATTGGCCAAATATGGACAAGCAGATTGTCGACTTCGTCAAAAGATGTTCACATTGCCAAAAAGCTGCGAAAAATCCTCCTAAGTTGCCTCCAGTGCCCTGGCCGAAGTCAGAAAAACCCTGGTCGCGAGTGCATATTGACTTCACCGGACCCCTAGATGGTACCACATATCTGATACTGGTTGACTCATACTCCAAATGGCCGGAGATATTGCCGATTGCGCCACCCTCTACAACTCGAACCATCAAACTCCTTAATCGGATCTTCGCTCAGCATGGTCTTCCAGAAACAATAGTAACAGACAATGGTTCACAATTTACATCTAGCCAATTCCGAGAATTTTGCCTGCAGAATTCGATCAACCATGTTCGTTCTCCGCCATATCACCCGCAATCTAATGGACAAGCTGAAAGGTTCGTTGATACATTTAAACGAGCCATGCTTAAAGCACGAGGGGAGGGGACCACAGAGGATATCATAGAACGATTCCTAGTTGCGTACCGGACGACCCCGCATGACTTATTGCCAAACTCCAAATCCCCTGCTGAGATGCTTATGGGGCGAAAACTACGGACAGTTCATGGTGCGATGAAACCCAAGCAAGTGGCCCAGCAAAGCCCCCAGAGGAAGAATATTCGAATTCCCTACGAAGTTGGTACAAAAGTGTATGCGCGAGATTATAGACATGGATGTGATAAATGGGTAGAGGGTGAAATCACACAAAAACATGGGGACGTCATGTATGATGTCAAGGTGAACCAAGAAATCTGGACCAGGCACCACAATCAACTCAGGTCAAGGAAAGCGAAGGAGAAAGAAGAAATTACAAAACGCGTCCCACTCGACTTGCTGTTGGACACATTTCAACTTCCGCCAATACCTCCAACAGAGACGACTAAGTCATCTACTCAAGTAGAACATCCCTCTGGTTCTGTGTGGTTGCCTCGGAGGTCGGATCGCAAAAGAAGACACCCAAAGAAACTTCAAGCAAACCCTCGGTTACGTCGCTATTAACTTTTCCAAAGGGGAGGTGTTGGGATACTCAGAAAAAAATCCCAGGAACAATTATCCGGTTAAGTCTAACGCTACCCTTGAACGTTAAATGGTGTCATTTCCCTATTGGTCGTTTCCCTACTGATCAATATTTATTTCGCGTGTCATTTTCCTATTGGTCAATGTTATTCAACGTGTCATCTTTCTGTTGGTCAATATTTATAGTAATCCTAACTGTATAAATATGCATTTGTTTGTAAATCATCATTCTGCTGCTCCTGACCCCATAAACGATTTTTCATCTACGGTTCGTGTCCTGATATATTGGAGATTGGGAACAGTATTGGGGTCGAACCGGGATATCTGAAGCTAGTCAATCGGTAGAATTTAGAGTAGCCAACTCACGATTCACAATAAATTTGGCGACGGAGATTTAGCAACAAGTTGGTGATTAACTATGGATCCAGCCAAATTAGAAAAATTGTTCGAACAGCAGCTGAAGTTGATGGAGATGATTACTCAGACGCATATATCTTCTCGAGTCCCAACTGCACCGACAATTCCTGAATCAGTTGATGGTATTACCAGTGGTATTTCAGAATTTCTTTATGATCCTGATGCCAACATTACATTTGATACCTGGTTCAGACGTTACGAAGACCTTTTCAAAGTTGACTTTGTTGACAGAGATGATTCGTGGAAGGTGCGTCTTCTTCTCCGTAAACTTGGTCCATCCGAGCTGGCTAAGTATTGCAACTTCATTCTACCGCAGAACCCACGCGACCGTTCATTCGACGCCACTATTCAGTCCCTTAGCCAACTTTTTGGTGATCATCACTCACTCTTCAGTACCCGATATCGCTGCTTAAAACTGGTCATGAATGAATCTGATGACTTCCTGACCCACGTCGGCGTTGTTAACCGTGAGTGCGAACGGTTCAAGCTGGAGGGAAGCGGAAAAGAGGAAGGCCAAAGAACACATTACGTCGGGAAATAGAAGCAGATGTGAAAAAGATGAATAACAACTGGAAGGAGCTGGTAAGGATTGCCCAGGACGGGGTTGGATGGCGAATGCTGGTGAGCGGCTTATGTTCCTTCACCAGGAGTAACAGGCGTAAGTAAGTAAGTAAGATTCGATCCCTACAGTATTATTCTTGCTACTTCATCTCTTTGTGTTTTGATATTCCAGCTTATGCCAACCAGTAGTGTGCAAGGCTCTACATTGATTATAACTGACTGACCCTGAAATCTAGTCCCAATAAAGTATATTGCACTTTCGGAATCAACATACATAATTCTAGCATGTTCATTTACCCAAACTTATCTACATAGTTTGGAGGACAAGGATGCTCCACTTTTCATGATTCTGGAAACCTATGGCACAAATATGATATCAGTTTGTTAATCGTGCGGCAAATATACGGCACAGAAATCTATTCTGTACTAATCTGATTAGAAAAATGGCACATTGGGATTATAGGACATTCATAAGCCACTGGTATTCGAAATTAAATTTCACTGTTCGTATATGGTGCACTAACCGAGTATAGTTAGGCGTAAGGTACTGGATTAAAAGGTCCAGCCAATCAGTGGAGTTTTGTACTTTCGGATGAGTTGGTTAGGACGTGCTTCACGCATGTCTAGCCACTGCCTTTGCTGATTTGAAATGCTAGTTATTGGATTAAAATAAAGAGACGGTAGATCAAAACATGACGAAAAACTTATGAACTCGTCGACCGTCAGTCTAGAACCCCCTTAATAGTCGTACAGTATGGTTATTAGTGTTTGGTGACAACTCGGTCACAGTTGCTTTTATTCCATATTCTTTAACATTTTATTCCTCGATTTTATTTATTTATTCTAAACTGGTTGATGACGTTCTCTCGAAATAATCAAACAATGATTTAAAAGGGTTTTGTCACTATGCTAGTTATGTGGAGTAATTATTGAAAAACTAGTCTTCTGTGTAAGTTATGCTATGCTTGATGATAAACCCTGCAGTCGGAAATAAAAGGACATTAACTTCGTGCCAGCTACATAGTTTTTAAGTTTATTTTCACGCATTCTCTGCGAAGTTTACTTGTTGAAGTGATGAAATGTTACGTTTTAAATTTTCTCTTCATTCCTCCTTATCACTAAAATAAAATGTCAAAAAAAGCTTCTTTTTTTTAAATATCGTATAATTTCAACAGCATGAAGGGAGTTCAAGAAATAAATATTCTGAATGATCATTCCTCTATGTACGATTGCACCTAGCATGCCGATTGGAAATTTTTACTATCTGTCGGCGCTTTAATTGGGTTGGTTGACTCAGAGAGTTCATCTGCTAGGGTTGGGAAATCCTGATTCAAAACTACCGGTGCACATGGGCTCCAGGGGGAGCGAACGATTTATGAGTCTGTTTTTAGTTATTGGTTACCATGGCATAGTATCTCTTAACTTTATTCTAATACCCTGTTTATCAGGCCTCTAGGTCAAAGCATCGAAGAGAAACCTCCTAAGAAAACTATTTGCCTAAGTTTTTACACCCGAAGAGTGTCCCTGACTTTTCTCAAATATGGTAACCAAAATTATGAAGAAATTAATATTCTTTCTCCTCTTCCTCTATCACTGAAAGTATAATTAATATTCAAATAATCCAACTGTTTCGTTCTACTTTGTTTCATTCCGTTTTCTTCCCACTGTTTTATTTTATTTTCAACTCTCTCAGTAGCACCTCCACTTAGAACTGGCTTTCCCATCTAAGTGATCTCAAGTCGATGACTGGCTGAAGTTTCAAATGTTTCCATCAGATATGAAATCTGAACCAGCTTTCCTAAAATCACACGGTGCATTTTCAGTGGCCGCCATCAACGTTTATGCAGTGACCCAGAACTTTCAACAGATAGGTTTAGCTACGTCCGTGGAAAGTAATGACACTGACGTTAGCTATATATACGAGACCCTTACTTAAAACTTTAATGAAGTACCACAAATTTGTTCGTTATCTTTCGATTTGAAAACTTGTTTCATGTCCATTCATCCAGTGAATATGTGGCATCTTCACCCAATTCGGCTGGCATATGTGGCATCAATCTATAGGACTCTCATTAACAGTCATTTATTCGCCATCAGATTAGGAAGTCCCATTAATGTGAGAAATTGGATTGGGGAACGATGTCTTTTCAAAACCCTCCCATATGCCCTGAAAGATTATAGTCTGAGTGGAATCGAGGATGAGTTCTACTAACAACCAAATTATCTTGTTAAGAAATCTTATTCAACAAACCTTGTAGTGTTGGCCGAATGTGTGGGTTTGTGTACAGAGTTGTTGGGGTGGCCAATTGGGATTAGTCGGTCAAACGTCCGATAGCGGTGACCGCCTTGTGGAAGCATGTGCATATCACAACTTGTTCCTGTTTAGCACCAAATTCCTGCAGTTTTCACAAATATGCTACCTAGCGCCTTCTCTCTGCAACTGAACCTACACCAAGACTGGTCTCTTTGAAACCAGATACCCCTGGACTAGTTGTGTACAAAAATAATGCTTCTTTTAGGGCAACTATCTAGACCTTGATCATCTTAGGTTTTAGTGGCTATAAATTCGTCTTAAACAGGTAGGTATAAATCCCCTGAAACTTTCGTCACAACCAAATACCACATTGAGTTAGGTTCAAGGATAACTATCAACCCACCGAAAAGTTTAGATGAATACTAGCTGCATTTGTATAACGTCGTGGAAATGTTGAGTAACATCGCTTACAAGCGCTGAGTTTCTATAAGATGTTTTCAACTCCATGAGGTACGTCGGTCTATTCCATCCAACTTTGAGCTTGATGACAAATGCAGATTCTTGCTTAAGGAAATCGTGCTAAGTTCGCATAGTGACGTAGAAGTCTGGTGGTTGGAGCGTTCTGACGAATTCAAAGTTGCTTCCTTTAACTGATGTAAGCTGTTTCAACTCATCTGTGTCATTGGTAGCAAGAAGATTAGCGATTGAAACAATCTACAGAGCTGATGAGACGCCATTAGATAACATCAAACTATCTCCTGGAAGGTGAATAGAGTTCTCCGAAGGTATTTCAGTTGAGTGACGACCCATTCAACGAGGCGGAGGTACACGGGGAATGTTAACGCTAGGAGCCCAAGTCACTAGGATCAGAGGACATACTACCGGACTGTTCAGGAACGGTGGCGAACTTCTGGTAAGGGAGCTGAATGGGTTGTTTAGACAGTTTTGAGTAGTGTTTTATCACTGTTAAACGAAGCGACTATGATACCTACATTTGAAAAGAACCTATATCATCTATTCGACAACTATGGATGGAAAAGTCCACTCCTGGGTGAATATAAACTATAGGGTCCCGTCATAACTCGCGAGGAACAGGATGGTTTTCGTTCAGGTTGTGAATGCGTTGATCATATTCTCACCTTTTACCGAATGTTAGAGGACCACCGTACCTATTGCAAGCCAACAGTATTCATAATTCTTGACCTCAGGGCCCCTTTCGATTAGTTGGATAGGACTGTTCTCGTCTAGTGAAGTGTCCTAGAAGTTCGTTAACACCTTGAAGGCTCTGCATCTAAGTACCTAAAGAAGAATGGAGGTACACAACCACCTCTTCCCATCGTCCCACTTGAGCAATAAGGATAGGCAGAACTGATCACTTTCACCATTCCTGTTCAACGCTGCCATGACATTCTGGAAAAAGCTCTGGTAGTATGTTGTGGTAGTGTGGGCCTGTTACCTATACGAAGACACTGATCTTGAGCATGGGGATGATAATGTCTCGCTATGCAATGATATTGAAGTTATCCAAATCGTACTTAAGTATTTGGCAATCAGTTTCCATAGGTATGACATGTACTTTGGAACTTCTAGATAAAAAGCACTTCAACAAGGCTGGTAGGAGCGTGTGTACACTGACTCTTGATGGTGAGCAGTTAGAAGTCGAAAACTATTGTATTTGGGTAGTTTTGTGTGCTGATGGTAGCGTAACTGATTAAGTTAATTTGCGTATAGTAAAAGTTAGAGTGGCCTATGCCATTTCAGAGTCATTATGATGTTAGTCCGGCTGTAAAAGACCAGGTCTACGACGCGTTTGTGAGAGCAGTTTTGGTTCAAGCTCTTAAAACCCGGCCTCCCCAAGTTGATTGTTTGGCAACTTTCTGTTTAATGACTGTTGTCTCCAAAGGAGTGCAGATAACTAGTGAGAATACCACTGGTAATCTTGGAGTCCAGTCGTTTGTATTAGGGCTAAGTGGCAATAATTCAGTTGGTCCCCACCATGAAATACAGGCCTCGCTGGCTTTGGCACGTGCTAAGAATTTTTTCACAGCGAGATCTACATTTTGGTTTCTTTGCCGACTCTGAACCTACACAGAAATAGATAAGTGTTGAATATATGACATGGAGGAGCGGTATGAAAGAAGCCAACTGCTGGTTTATCACGATTCCTATGTTCGGATCTTAGAGGTAGTATAGCCATTGACTTAAAAAGTTATCAGGCATGGCTCGCAACAAAAGTCAATGACGGGCGTTCTGTAGTTTCATTTTAAATTCCTGGTAAAAGCCAAGGGAACTTCTTTAACTGAAAAAAGTGCTTTTTATTTGTATTTTTCGAACTAACTAGTCTCCCCTATTATAATTTGTTTTTTTCATTTATTTATTCGACAATGCTTCCTCGCCTCTCCCCATCTCCCAAAAACTCATTTTCTTATTTGTGTGGAGCATATTTATTTTGTTACCTACTTGTATCAGTAGTTAAGTCAATATAAAAACAGAGTTCTCGTGTATCAACGTAATTTCCAACATGGTTGTAAGTTAATAATAATACAGTTAAAGTCGATAAGAACTTTATGACCGCCGTTCAAATTAGGTTCTATATATGAATTATTCACCGTCGAAATTTATCATCATAGTGTATTGTAAGAGAATACATTTTCTACCTGGAATTCAAATTTACACATTATTAAGGCACGCCGTTTGTAAAATAATTTTATGTTATGTAAGCTATATAACTTTGTCAGAGAGAAATCATTGTCGCGCTTATATAACTACTCTTCCACAATGAACCTTAGAATTATTTCAGAGATACTACTAGACATCTATTTTACCAATTTTCAGGCCTTTTCTCTTATTTCTTTATTAAGGTTTGCTGAAAATGATTTTCGGAAATATTTTAAGTCATTGAATTAATTACAACTTTGTGGATCTGATGATATTTCTGAAACTTATTTAAAAGAATTCCTAGGTTATCACACCTACATTGTCAAGGCAAACAACCAAAATAATATATATTTTCAGAAATTAATTATGCAGTTACTAAAGGACACTGGGTGAGAACAAAGATGGGAAACCTGATATTCAAGTAAATAAGGAAAAAATAAACGGTCTAAACACGTCTGAAGAAAAAAATTAAATAACATATGTCCTGATAGAAAGTAATTACACTTATACAGTTTTAACAGAAAATATTCTACTCGGTAACGCGCGAGCTGAAAAACTCTTGAAGTATTCTGAAGCGTATTTCACTACCTCATCTGGTTTATGAAGTAATAATGATTTAATAAAGTCAGAAATCATATCATGTATCTCTGGGTGATCGCGCAGATATAAAAGATATTGAGCTTTGATTTCATTCTAAAAAACGAAAAAAACGAATCTACATCAATGATGACGGAAGGAAAAAGCAATTTGTGGACTCTTTGCATTAATATGTAATGAAATTTAGAGAACAGATGTAAATGATGGAAATTTAGATTTCTCAGTTCTGACTTCATACTATTCGGTCATAAGCAATATCACTTATAATGATACTGAACCAGAAATCCTTATGTCGTGCTCAATTAACTCGAATGTCGTTATCTTTATAATATATGAGAGACTTATTTACCCGCAAAACACTACTAAACGTTATTGTCCTTTCGTTTTAGAATTAATCAAAAACTATATTTCATGCATTTAGAAATTTGTTTCCCAACAACTGGATATTGATTTCAAGCTGACTCCACTTACTTTAGTCTTGACAAAAACTTATTGAATCTTATTTCCTGTCGATTAGCTGGGTTTGCCAATTTTCAAACTTTTCGCTGTAAATTTGATTTCATTTAATTCGAATGTGCATCTTTGGAGCATACTTATAATGAGAAAGTACTTCTAACTACAAACTTAACAAAGGTTTACGAAATTCAAAGTTAATGTTAGCAATAAATTTTACCTTTCGGTCTAAAAAACGCGAATAAAGTTCCAGATCATCTTCCCAATTTAAGGAAACCTTTGTGACGACTGGTTTAGGCAAATACATTTCTAAATTAAAGGACATTTAAAGGAAATAACTGGAAAACAAACCTTTTTTGAACAATTCAGGTATGGCGTTCGCCTTTATGGTGATCGGAGAGCCAACTTGTATTCTTAGTATCATATGGCTGAAACAATTTTTAGAAAACTTTTCACTACTTCTACTTTAAAAATGACAAGATTATAGGGAGATCGCTATTTTAATTGACTTAAATTTCAAAGAATATGTGAAGACGATTGATTAGATATGATTGCAATCACTAAACGAATGTATGGCTACGTATTGAGTACAGTAAATGTATATAAGCATACACATGAAACCTCATTTTCTTAGACTAGCGCTACTAATGTAGGTAGTGATTTTTCAAAGTAGTCTAATCGTGACGAAAACCTAACTAGCCAATAGATTCCACTTACCTATTCAAAATATAGTAGTTTATATTGATATCACTAATCTTTTCTGAACTAATAAGGCTTAGACATAAAGTATTTGAGTATTCCGTATTTTACCTGACCATCTACTAATGGGTTTGATTTCAAAATGTGTACGAAGTAGCTGAAACATACAGTTAACATTACAATACGCACACTATGATTACATCTAATCATAAACTATTACGCATAAATATACAAAAGCACATATCACCTACCAGTTAAATACTAAACGCTGAACTAACTGATGGACAGTACTTGATTGACTGGGTGCACTACAAATTAGTGACAATTATTTAAATTAGCATGGTGATTTATGAAGGGTCATTAAACATTTTTATGATTACGCTCACTGTAATGTATACGGTTACAATTTATTTATTTGAACACATACATGTTGGTACAAGGGGGCATCAAAAATATATGCGCCACACTAAACAATGAAAATGGGGACAGAAAAAGAAGTTAAGGTGTGTTTATGAGAAAAAATGCTCTCACACGGCCACGCGTATACAGCCTCTGCCAGGGAAGTCCTACTCACTGCCTTCTCGTGGCGTTGTTAACGAAATTGAGAGGACGAAAAGCGAATGTCCGACGCCTTAACCATGCCGATGAACACGGTGAGTCCACCTACGGGGGGATGAAAAACCCTGATTCCAAACCAATGGCGCACATGGGCTCCAGTATCCTGCGGGGACAAATGGCGTATGAACCAATCGTTGGTCACCGGTTACCATGAGATCGCATCTTCTCATGATGCTCCACTGCCTTGTGGGTCAGACCTTTAGTTCAAAGGCTCGGGGTGTGGCCCCTTTAGAAAACCACCTGCTCCTGTTTGAGTACCCGGTCAGTATCACAGCCCACACACAAATAAAATTAAATAACTATATTCACTGAAAATACCATTCACCCTTCGGTCACAAATAAATTGGGCGTTTAATAAATATACATGAATACAGTCACATATGGATGTGGTGTGTCTTTTGTAACCTTTACCTGTGTCTTTAAAGCAATGTTGCGTCTCCTACAAACTATTAAAATATATAATACACCAGTTTAGTGTAGTAGCTCACACTTTTTATATGTTTTAATGCAAATATAAGAACGTAGGTCGTTTAATTGCGTGACTTGCCAGCTTATCAAGGAATAACACTTGAAAACAACAAAGTAAAAAGCTTTAAAATAAGGTTAAAATACTCTTACCCGTCCTGCATAAAGTAAGTTTGCCAGGATGACGGAAGGGCTTTTTGAGAATGCACAGTCCTCTGGATTCCTCTCAATGATATTTCACTATTTCCGATGAATACGTTTCTTTCTCCAAGATCAATCTGTTTATTGTTGGAAAATGTTTTTGAAAAAAACCCACATAGGACACCGTGGCTAGATTATAATCTGTATCTAAACCAATAACCTCGAAAGGAACAGAAAAAGCAGATTTAACCAAAATTCGCTGAAAAATCAAATCCGAACCCTCAGCAATTAACCCTAATACATTAGATTGGGCTAAGTTTTTCTTTGTTGAAAACTTAATTTCTCCATTCACTGATTCAGTACAACCGATTTCATACACATTCTCAACAAGTTCGATGGTAGACTTTCTTTCCACAACACTTCCGTTCATCTAGAACATATCTTTGGAAAAAAATTTCAACATACCACAATGGTTTCTAATTTTGTTTGGGAAATTGTCTCAAGAGAGGAAGTTATATTTGCTTCAAGTGTCGTAGTGCTATGTATTTCCCCTAGCATGGTTCTAATTGACGTTTTCACAAGGAGCCCTTTCATATCTAGATCCTTATTCGTAACTCGACACTAACGTTGAAACTGGAGTTGGTGGATATTTATTACCTCATATGACCCTACAACTTTGTTATTATTTGAATAACATATGAGAACGTCATCAAACACAACAGTTTCCAACTTTTCGGCCTCTTTCGAAGTAGAATAATTGTTAATCTAATAGCTACCCAAATTCTGTAGAAACTGCTGGGCTGTAACATTCATGCAAGCACACTCCATTCTTCTTTATATAACTTCAAATAAGCCAAATAAACATTGACGACCAGATCCATCGAATTAATGTGAACAAACAAATACTAGACACATACTACTGTTTCGTTCCTATCTGAATAAGAAGTAGAAAATTTTCTATCAACACTTCAAACCACCGCTTGTAGAATATTCAAAGCACGTTTTGCGTCGGAGCTTTTAATACTATCTGGCCTTAACGGAAAACCGAAAAATAAAGATAATAATTTATGGGACGGCCAAACCGTCAAGCCAGAGGTTTTCGTGCACATCTGACATATTGTCGCGGATAAAAATCACCTAGTGAATAAGCCTTGATTACTATCATCTTGGAATGCACTTCGTGGGAATAAGTTCTGAGTCAATTCATTCCGCGTTCCTTCTCAGTATCTCAGTATTTTTCATACGTTTCCTTTGTGACAATTTGTATCAAATATACCGACAATGCATCTCAGCATGCCTAAGAACCATCTCTTGAAATTCAAAGAGAGAAATAATAAAGTAATCCATTCTTTGTTAATGTCTGAAAAATTTGGACGCAAAATAATAAGCTGTCAGCGTAATATTATTAGAAAGATAGATTAAATATCTATTTTCATAAACCTAAAAATGTTTGGGATCATAGGTCACTAACGGTCACTGAGCGCAAGTTAGAAATAATAAGGTTAGATAAAGTTTTAAATATCCACTAAACTAATTATTTTTCAAGATTTTTCAAGCCACAGAGCACTACTTTCTAGTACATCATCGTGGTAGTTGAATGTAAACAGATAAAAACATTTGACCTTATGAGCTCATCCCCGATACTTTTTCCTGATTTCTTAGACAGTTAAGTGTCTTATTGTTCCTCGTCATGTAAGAAGATTTCTCCCGGAAAATTATTTTTTGAAGTGAATCAGACATGATATGGTTAGCAGAAAATGGCATAAAAATTTATTTAACAAGTTTAACCGGATGACGATAGTATGTCAAGTGATTATTATGTATTAGTGGATCATATCTGGCATATATGCACACGTGATGTGCAGTGAGACTTCTAATCTGACTAGTTTGCTCACTAGAAGCGTTCCGCGGAAGGTTGAAAGGTGATTTGATGGGCAGGTTTAACTGAGATAGTCAGCGTCAATGTCATATTTTTATAAAAATGTCTATTTCGCGGAAATGAAGAACACTTCACTTACGTCTTTCTAGTTACTGAGAAATATAAGTGAGTGAGTGTGAACATTTAGAAAGGACTAATCAGGATTTTAAGTCGCTAAAATTGCCACAAATTTCTATAGACGCTTCAAGATGGTGAGATTATAAAGTTGTAATAAATATATTGCTAATAATCATAAATTATCTCCGATAACAATAGGTCGTATGAACTTAACGTTTAAAGTATTAATAAGCGTATGAAAATTTAATAATATAATTAATGCATTTCTGATATGCTTCCACCAAAATATCGCATGTTTTCGGTTTCTTAAAAGATTTACTTCACAATAATATCCAAGTTAAACAACTTTCAGAGTGTATTATTTGAGGCCTATAACAATTACCTGATACATAAAAATGGGATGGGCGTCTGGAAAGGGTCAATACAAGAATTACAGTATCATAGGTTTCGATATAAGACCTGACAACATCATTGGCTATTTACACATTTGCTTCGAAATAAGGTGACATGACATTATTGTAATAATTATATATAATAAGTTATTAATTATTAGCATTCAGAATGTGCTGTCTATTGAATGGTAGTTCGACCGTAACTCTGCCTGCTTTCTTTAGCCACGAATAGTAGACAAAAGACTGATATTAATCGTTTTTATGCTTTGTGAAAGCCTTATTAAATACCCTAAATCGGTTCTAATATAAAACCCATGCCAATTAGCCTAAAGAATCAAAGTTGAAATGTAACATTCGATGCCTATTAAAACAATACGGTAATGTTACATTAGGCAAAACATACAGTCTGCTAAGTAAAAAATAATGTAAATAGTAGTGTTGTTTCAGTGATATAACAACCGTAGTTTTAAAACGTAATATGTATTTTTTTAGAGAGCATCGAAAGTGTGTACACTAGAACAAACCGTGGATATAGTGTTATTTGATTTGTAACAAAGTCTTAGTAGAGACTACTACATTATTTAAGACAACATATCAACACAAACATTTCGTGCAATAAAACAGTTCAGGTTTCATCACACAATTGTTTCAACAATGTTCATAATATTTTCACTGACTCCATAAAGTGTCGGATATTGATTTGTCGTCAAAAATTATGCGCCGATGTTTTCGTAAATATGAACTAGAATAAGAATAAACAGTTATATATGTTTTGCAAACAGAATCCAAAATAAATCATGGTTGTAGCCTACACAAACAGTTATAAAAGTGAATATATGAAAGAAGGAATTTGCAGTCGATAGAAACTTAGACGTAAGTGAAGCATATTTTGAGTAAGAGAGCATATGTAAACAATTGTGTAGGTGGTACCAAGTTAGTAGCCGATCATCATCTTCAGATGAACCCAGTATGACATTTTGATAAAACAATGAATCTAAGTATTCGGATGAAAATATATGCATTTATATAGTAAGATAAAAACAGTTGGTAATGGAATATGCATTAGATCAGAAACATCTAAGAGTAGTGTGATAATATCGTGGATGCGCACTGCTGAGGAGTCCCTA